TGGGAGAGAAAATTTTAATTTGGAAATTAGTGAACAGCTTGGTGAAACAGAGCAAATAAGTGCCTTTCGCCGTCTGTTTCCTCTTTTTTCTAACACATTAATTACAAAAAGCGTAAACATACACCTCCAGTTTATTTACAAATTACGGCAACAGGAACGCACCGTCTAAAATTCTGAAATAGACCCGACGGAATCTGGAATTTAGGTTAAATGTATTTGGTTCGATTTCAATCCTTTGTTTTATCACGTTCATCAAATTTGCTCTACAAGCCTTCTGCTCCTCATAAAATAGTCCCGCGTTTCTCTTTCGTCATGGTGTATGGTGGTGATACATTGCGAAACAACAAAGAAGGGAGCTGAGGTAAGCAAACCAGCCCTTTTGGCGTTTCGGCTGGGACCGTATGCTGAATGTTGGGGAGGGGATGGGGTCCCCAACGGTCGACGGTTTACTTCAACTCGGTTGGTACGATAGGAGAGTACTGACGCAAGTGGTGCAGCTGGTCCAGCAGCTCCGCCAGAAGGACTGGTTTGCTCACCCCAGGACTAAGCCTAGGAGAGGGGACGGACCCGTCCTCTCTTTGGGGACGGACCCGTCCTCTCTTTAAGGCTTAGTTCTAAGGTAAGCGCCAAATTGTGGCGGTTCTAAGGACCGCGTTGAAGTTGTCCGTCCACCGTCGGGGACACCATCCCCTCCCCAACATTCAGCATACGGTCCCAGCCGATGTGCCAAAAGGGCTGGTTTGCTTACGTCCGGTTAGCTCATCAAGCCAATCTTAATGGTTACACAGCACGGCAGCGGAAAAATGTCGCAGAGCAAGACCACTTCCAGGCTAACCTAAGCTCGAAATAGTATCGGATCACTTTAGCCCGGTTATACAGAGGAAATGAAAAGAGCCGACCTGGCTAATGATGTGTTCGTGGTTAATACACCTAAAGGAAAACACTGAACACCAGTTGGTCAGAAGTCGTCTATGACCGGAACTGCGTCATGGACAAGTGCGTTATTTGCCCGTATGAAAAAGTAGGAGATGGGAGCCAATTAGGTGAACATTCGACTAGTAGTAGGAAGTTTTAGCAGCTGTGAGCGGAACAGTAAAAAATGAAATAAAATAGAATAGTAAATTGCAACAGTTTACAAAGTTTAAGACTTGCTGAGAACAATAACGGAAAAAACGTTATGCTGTGGTGATTTTCTTCGACCCGAGCGAAGCTCTTGGACAATTATTAATAACACTGAACACTTCTACAGAATCCTACACGACTAATCTTGCGCGAGCTCCTTACCAGCTGAGCTGCCCAGAAATCGTGACAATCGGAACGTGGCCACTCATATCTACTACAATATTCTGAATGTTATTCATTGAAGTCAACAATCTGCTCCAGCATCATGGAAACGTCCTTTAAAGGAAGCTCTTCCTAATACCTGGGACTCACTCGAGGCCTCTGTCTATACGCCGCGGCTAGCAGCTCCACGAAGGAATTTGCTGTCATTTTTGTTTTTCATCTGTCTTTATTAAGATTTCAGGTTTTCCATGACCGCTCCGTGTTGTTAGCGTACTGTTTCAGTCACCCCATTTCCATTATTGGGACAAAGTAACGAAGCCACATTCATTAGGTCAAAAGGTCAGAGGTGCAGAAAGTTATTGGCTGAGTGGATTTTTGACCCTCAACTCTTTCTAAGCGAAAATATTCGGCTCTGATGGTTAGATTTTCGCAGTAGTTTCATGTGCCAGCCCTCGAGGAAGAGTCCGCCTCGCTAGGACGATGAGTATCGGACACAAGTAGTGAAGTTCCACCTGTAATGGCAATTCGTTTGGTGTAACTTGTATACCACACATCAGTCGACCCAACCGTAGTCTCCCTTCTGTGCTGTTTTAGCAGTGCTTACCAGGAAATGTTTTGAACTTCCCATGGAACTTCGCGAAAGGAGACCTAGGACATCGATAGAGTCTTGCACGCTGATTACAAATATGGACACTAAAACTGCTATGCGAAGTTTGTAAGAAAGTTGTGAGCCTTAAATGTTTGCAAAAGAACGCCAATGAGTAGGTGTAACATATGTGGAAATATGGTTACTTTTTGCCTGAAACTTGTTATTAAGGCTAAATGGGTGACCTGGTTACGAAAATGAGACCCGTTTTTGGCCAGAAACATGGCGACTGATTATTGACGTAAGCAAACCAGCCCTTTTGGCACATCGGCTGGGACCGTATGCTGAATGTTGGGGAGGGGATGGGGTCCCCAACGGTCGACGGTTTACTTCAACTCGGTTGGTACGATAGGAGAGTACTGACGCAAGTGGTGCAGCTGGTCCAGTAGCTTCGCCAGAAGGACCGGTCTGCTCACCCTTGGACTAAGCCTAGGAGAGGGGACGGACCCGTCCTCTCTTTAAGGCTTAGTTCTAAGGTAAGCGCCAAATTGTGGCGGTTCTAAGGACCGCGTTGAAGTTGTCCGTCCACCGTCGGGGACACCATCCCCTCCCCAACATTCAGCATACTCGTGTATAACTTCGTATATGTCCATATAGTGTATCTGCGTTTGCTACGTCACTGTTATTCCACCAGGTAAGCTCGCTCCAGTAACGTTTTTTTGCCAACTTTGAAAGTTCATAACTTTTCTAGGAAGTTAACGTAGCAGTTACAGTGTCCCATAATTGCAATCAGCGTTCAAATTGCTACTTCCCCTCCAAAGTGTCCGTGGAGAAGTTCCAAAGCTTGTCCTGGTTACCTTTTTTCGGGTTCGCAGAGCATGGTTGTAGTTGAACCATTCTGTAGTGCTTAGGCGGCCGCTGTGAAGAGCCTACTCCGCATAGCATGTTGCAACTTGAAAATTTGGTAGTTTTCATAGCATAGGGGAAGGTAAAAAGACGAAACTAACTTATACACATTTTGGACCCTACCTTATAAGACTATGCTCCACCAGAAATTTCAACAAATCTTTTCAGCGTCCTATCGTACTGCAGCTCTCGCCATCTTACTCTACATCGCAATCACTACAAGCTTTTCACACCACTACTTTACAGCACATTTATTGTAAAGCAAGTCCTTTCTTTGATCCGCAACCCGCTTTCGCTCTGCGATCCACTTTGAATTGGGAAATATCGAAGCGGATTGGTGATTCAAACACGTTGTATTCAGAGCTTCGAAAAAGATGAAAGCTCATTCAAAATGAAGTAGATGATGCGTTTTAGAGAGTGACACGCGCTTCGAAATTTTTTTTTTAGATATAAAATAATAAATATAGATTATATGATATAAATAATACAATCCATAAATTATAATAATTAGATAATATTAAAAATAAAAATTTGTAATAAACATTTCAAAATTTCATTAGAAAAGCACGGAAAGATTTGTAGACCTAATACATTTCTCTGTGAATCATATGTATTACAGTATTGTCCATGGGAAAACACAACAATCTGTAAGGTGCAACAAAAAGCAAGGATCATTTCAGGCTGTCTACAAACAACAGTTTCCATACCCAGATCTCGACTCACCCTTTGACAGGCAAATACGGTGAGGCATTTTGAAAATTGTTTCTTCACACTCGAAAATCATTTGATTTGAAGCTGACTGG